TTTCTTTTGTCTTTTTTTCACGGTTGCTCTTCTTTCTTCTTCTTCTTCTTCTTCGTTTTTGACAAAAAACAGGTCCTTATGGCCCTGGCTCGGTTTCCATTCTGGAGAGCATCAGTCCAGTTCCTTTTTCCACCGGCGAAATAAATACAACATTTACCAACTCACACTTCCTTCCGTTTGTCCGAAAAAAAGGACCCCTGAACAGCATTGATTACTCCTGTATTGAAGGATTGCCTGTCAGCTTGCGGCTCTGTTCTCACCTCTCTCAGGCCCTTCCTCAAGGCCTGTCGAATAGAGCTGTACGTGCAAGACAAGAGTGAGTGAGTTCCGCAGCCCCCATAGGACGCGGCTCCAAGTTATGGTCTCTAGAGGATTGCCGTAGCCTGCATCTAATGTCCAAATGGGATCCTGGGACTTGGGCTGTTGACCGTCTTGTCATGCCGTGGATGGGTCCGAGTTGTGCCAGTCTTCACACATTTGATAAATTGATACCCATTCCTTGTATCGTAGCCAAATTTGCCATTCGCCAGCCATATCCTCCGGAACTTCGCTTTTTGTCGCCTTTCTGACTCTGGGTCAGCCTAATATACCAGTTTCACCTTGCACCACATTTACACAGGATTCCTGCCTCGATGAGATTTCTATGGGGTTGCTGCCCAAACCTTTCCTCAAGGATTTTTCGTCGTGTCGAGTGTGATGCTGCACCTCTCTTTCCAGATTGCCCATAGCGTCGCATTCCGTATCAAGTCATACCATATCCGTTCAGGGGCACCTCATTTGCACAGGATTCCTGCCTCGATGAGAGAGATTCTTGGTTGCTGCCCAAACCCTTTCTCAGGGATTTCTTGTCTTGTGGAGTGTGGTGCTGCACCTCTCATAGCGTTGCATTCCGTATCAAGTCGTACCATATCCGTTCCGGCTTGCAAAAATCCGAGGGGGTGTTAGTTCAAAGCAATATCTGGATGGGGTGCTCTGAGAGGAGGGAGGAGAATAATCTACTCCACAGGTCAGCCGCTGTAGCCCGATACTCGGTTGCTTCTTTACACCTGATGAGGCAGTGGATCATGTCTTCTTGTTCTTGATCTGAGCAGAGTAATCACCAGTCAGAGCTAGCTATTAGGATCATTCTTCCTTCTTCTTATGTGAAGCCATTGGTTGACGGGCACTGCTGCCTATGATATGAGCCATTGGAGGCTCCTGATGATAAAGGGGCCTGACCGCCTTGTATCTTCTTCCAGTGTGGGTACCTTGGCGATCTGTTTGGCTTCATCCCCAATCATACAACAACAAAAAAAAAAACAAGAAAAAAAGCAAAAAAATTAAATTCAGGTAAATATGGCAGTTTCGGTGAAAAACTCGCCGAAAATGACACCACCTATTAACCGTTAGTCGTGAGCAATCTTCTGTTAATTGTCCACGATGGGTCTTTTGTCTTCAACAGCATTCTGTACCCTATTCTCACCGTGTACTCAGATCTTGCTGCTCAAAATTTTTGTGTTCTCACGTCCTGGCTGATTGCACCGTCCTTTTGAAGGGGGAAAAAGAACTGCAGGTCTTCATTCGCTCACAGCATGCCAGCTCCATCAATTGCGAACTCGTCTTCTTCTTCTTCCTCCTCTTCCTCTTCTTTGAAACGGTTTTCACCTTTGCAGAGGCAGATGCAGATCCCGGGGTTTGATCCCCAGACCTTACCTCACCCATGTACAGTATCGAGTTGACCTCTGAGTGTTTGAACCCATGACCTGTGTTTTGTGAGTTGTTGTTTGTCTGTCGTAGGACTGTGTGGACATAGGGATTCGATCTATAGACCTGTCGAGTAGAGGTCTTAGAGAGTTCCAGAAGTCGTAGCTGTAGATGTTCTGAAGGGTCAAAGTCGTAGCTGCTACAGTCCTGAGAGGTCAAGGTCGTAGCTCCCGAAAGGCCAAGTCCACAGACTTCCGGAAGGTCCGGAAGTGGCCTTTCACAGCTTGCTCACGTTTTAGACTGAGGCAAGTGGGCAAGTGGGCAAGTGGGCAAGTGGGCAAGTGGTGGACCAACTGCAGTACGTTCGTAGTACGATAGTGGTAGGTTAGCAGTGTGTCCCCAGGCAGTCAGCGGTACGGTCCAGTCAGTCCCAGTCCAGTCCAGCAAGTACCATGAGGGACTGTGTGTACCATGGGCCGATGGAAAGGGGCAGACCAACGAGTTACAGAAGTATAAATCAAGAGGCAGCGCACAGCCATTCATTCATTCCTGCGGAAGCCATGCGGAAGCGCTGCCACGGTGACTTGTGCGAGGTGGTCTGCAGAGGAGCCTGAAGTCGAAGTGGGCTAGAGGGAGTTAGCGCAGCCATAGCTGCTTGTAGAGTAGAGTTAGTTGGCGGCCATAGCTGCCATAGTTAGTAATAGGTATGCATTCGTGTGTGTGCATTCGTGTGTGTGCATTCGTGTGTGTGCAGAGTGTGTGCGTGGGGTATCCAGGGTGATCCGGAGTTGAAGCGTGAAGCGAACAGGGGTGTTGGACACAGAGACAAGAGTTGCGATGTGTGGGTGCTGATGCTGATGCACCATAGCCTGTTGAAGTGAGCTTGCATCTGAACTGTGTCTTGGTTTCCATATCCTCGAGCTTTGAGTTGGGCGCTATGCGCCAGTGTGATTCACCATCTATTTGTATGTATGCATGTGAAGTGACGAAGTATGCGAGTCTGATTGCACTGGTATCGGAGCTGGTACCCGCTACTCCATGCGCATCGCCGTTGTAGCAGGAGGGAGACGCGTGGGTGCCATAGCTGAAGTGCGCCACCCTTGAAGAAGAAGTCCGCCATAGCTGCGCTGCGGAAGAGAGTGACGTGTACCTGCACAGAGGACAACGACGAAGAGAGAGAGAGAGAGAGAGAGAGAGAGAGAGAGAGAGA